AATGCAATCAGAGTGCGCACACCACCTGATATGTGCCTAATTTATAGCCAAGTTGTCTGGAGAAGTGTAATATCTAGTCATGACTTACGCTCACTGAAAGTTCATGGAACATTTAGAAAAATGTTTGTTTTACTGAAGGTGACAATTTGTGTGTTTGTTGAGTTAACTGATAGAAATTGACCAAAAAGATGGATGAACTTGGGGGTTCAAGTTTACCAAGTTCAAGTTAGCAGAGTTCATCTGTACCAAGATACAACAAAATGATCCAAGTTTGAAAGTTTCCAAAGCCTTAAAATGCATTTTAAGGCTTGGTATGAGATTATGTACAGGTACAACTATGAATAAGGTTGAAAATATACCAAATTGTTTGCTTAGAGGTAGAATGATAAGTGCATAGAATAGTCTTCCACTATTGAATGTTTTTATTGCACTGTTGTTGCTCTCCCATTTTCAGGATCTTGGCCTCTTGATTCCAGCTGTTTAGTTTACAATCTCGAAATTTTGAAAGCATGTCGTCATCATTTTGCGCATATTGGTGGTTCCTTGCCTGAAGATTCACTGTGTTTTCTGTCATCTGAAGTATCACATCTTTGTCCTGGTCCATTTGTTCAAATCCAACTTGTGGTTGCACTGAGAACTGGTAATAATGAACTGCTTGATTGTCACCTTGTTGCTGATGAAACTGGACAATTCAAAGTGGTATGTACATGTGCAGTGCCATACATGTCAGTCGTCAAGCATATGTAATAGAGGTAATCATAAAGGACTCATAAAACACGTCTAGTTATCCTGAATAACTGGAGGACAAAATGCATGGAAATTCCTCCCATGATCTAAAGTTACACCCAGCTATGGTCTGTAATTAAATGAAATTTGATTGTTCAAAACCAGAATTTTAAGGCTATTTGTCAGCATACAACAACTGAAACTTAATGTCCTGTCAATATTCTAAGCTCAAATTTAAGAAATTAATTTTATCTTAAAGGCGACAGTGTCACACTTGGCCATGTGCATAGAATCACATAAATTCCAAGAATCATTTCAGTTGTCCACCTTCTTGGATTTCAAGCACCATGCAAGTAACCAGCTTGGAACACATTAAAGATGATCACAAATTACCCCTGTTTAAATATAGATCAAGTTCCCTCTTGCTATATTTTAAGCAAATGGACCTATTTATAGATTATTTTAAGTTATGGACCCTGTAGTCAAACAGATTGTATACAACAACAGCAAGATTTCACTTGCGGCCATAATTTTACCTTTCACAGCTGTTTTGGAGTAAGTTAATTGCCTTTAACAGAGGCAGTTATGAGAACTAATTTAGGGCCCATTGCATATAATATGAATAAATTAAGTCTTGATCAATGTGGCAACAAGTTGTGTTGCATCAGAACAAATGTGCATAAAACAACAGAGCCACACAATTCATGGCTACCTTTAATTTCCTGTGGTGATATGTATATTAACACTTAAGTAAATTACAATGTTTGACTCTAAACTTGTGCCTTTGTACAGTTCAACATGTAGCTCTTCTCTTTTATCCTCATTCTTGAGGCTTTGTTTACTGATCTTGTTAACAGGAGCTGGTTGGTGAATTTTGCAATCATTAGTTTTACTAACAAGCTACACACTCAAAAATCTTCAATGAGAGTGCTGTACTTCACAAAAACTACTATTCAAGAATTACATAACTATCCTTTGTTTGAATCTCAGTCACTTCTCACCTCTTCATTAACAGGGGTTTTCCATTACTGTGAAGCTTTTTCTTAGAGTAGAACGTCACCTTTCAATATTCAGACAGCAATGTGTAGCAATGTGCATCATTGGGTTGAATTGAGGGTTGAAGGTGACTCTATTGGCCTGAGTGCTCTGTTTTGCCAAGAATCATATACAATTTACCCAACAAATCACAGTCAGTCACAAGCCCCTAAGGTACTGAGTGGGAGAATATTCTTGCAATTGTCATCAGTCTGTTCAGTTGCTTGCACTTTTTTGGACTTGCTTTCATGTATTTATTGGACAACCCTATCACTAAGGAAATAGTGTTGTAGTCAGTGTACAATCTATGATACTGTCGCAATTCTGGCTATGGTTTTCGAGGAAAGCTCCTGTAACAAAAAGTCTGATAATCCTTTACATGTACAGGTATTTTATTCATAGTCAAAAATACAGTTTCCTCGTAGTATTTCTATCTGTCAGTTTATACTGACTACAGCACAGGCTAAATTATCTAAAGAAAATTGTAGAAAATCAAATGTTTCTGAGCTACAAGGTTGGTCAGTCATCAGTCGTGATTTTTAATTATCCGACATCAGACATCAATTATATCGTTCAGTTATTTAGTGACCCAAGGAAACACAAGCAAATGTCAGTTCCTACTAAATACAAGTTGAGAGGTGTTTGCACCAAAGCGACTCTAATTTGTTCTTCATTCTTCCTCAAGTAAGGGATCATTTTCTATTACCCAGGGTCAATTGTCAAGCTTGCATTAAATGTCAGCACTACCTTACTTCCTGATGCAAAGAGTAGCTTTCACATTTCAAACAGTTCCGTTTCTTTCAAGCTCAGAAAGAAAATAAGAGTTGTTGGTATTTACCCATACATTTAATTCTTGTGCATGATACAAACGTGGTGGGCATACCACATGCTATTTCAATCAGTAATTGGTGCTGTCATATGAACAAAAGGCAAAGCAAACCTGATGTGTATGAAATTTTAACGGATAGCAATTTTCAAAGACATAACAGTTAGTTTGGCCTTTTTAATACTGTATTATCAACATAGTTGGTAATCATTACTTTCCAGTTTCTAGTCCTTTTTTCTGAAGTCATTTTCATTGACATTATGTCCAATTTTGAAGGGTTTTTTGCGTAGAAACTCTTTTTTTGCAAGGCTGTTTGTTATCCTTTTCAACCTTTTTGTAATTAGTTAGTTACCAGTACATAGGTAATTTCAAAGTTTTTGTAATGTAAGTATTGTTATCTCAATAAATATGGTAGGAAGAATCAATGTGCTTTTTGCTGTGAAAACTTTTTTTTTATGAAAAATTTGGTCAAAAAATTTTTGCATATTATTCATGGGCACATACTATACATGGGTAAATACGGTAGTCTCTAATGTACAAAAAACTTGTTTGTAACTGCATCATAGCATTACTGTTACTAAAGTATAAATTCTGGCACATAAAAGGATTTTTTTTTTATCTGTGACAGCAATATTTCACAAAAATAGAATGGTGTGTTCAAACAAAGTTGTACGTTGTGTCACAGAAAGTGAGCTGCTAATGAAAGTCTTGTAGTTAACCACAAATTACTCTATCACACAAAGAAAATGATCAGCACACAGTTCTGGTATTGCTTTGGTATTGCAGAGGTCATGGGTTCAAATTCTGTACAGTTCTGAATTTTTTTCAGGCCTTATTGTTTTACTGCTTAAATAAGCAGATAAAAAAACCACAGTTTACATAATTATATGTTTTTCATATATTCATAGTCAAAGAAAACATATTATCATCTCTATGTTAACTCCATTGGAGGGTTTATTTTCATCACTTCAAATTATCTTCACTCACACTGACAACAGTAATTTAAAAAACTGTTCAGATATCTTATTATTTACAAGAATAATACACAGACCTATTGTCTACACAAGGCTGGTAAATATGTCTGGGAGAAATGCTTAGTGCGCATTATTGGGTTAACAAACTGACGTTGATTTCTAAGATTATAAGTAATATGGTCCTTCGGTGGCAAAAAATGATGACGTTTGCGCTCACTATTTGACACTATTGGTTCAGAAAATTTATTACAGTCCTTGATATGTCTATCCTTCAGTGAGTTCAGGTTAAACAATGAAAGGTTGTCAAGATATGATAGGCCAGGTGAAATTATAACTGAGAATTACATGTCCTAGATGGCAGTTTGTTGTGCACTGTTGTGTTATGAACATACTTTCTTCAATCTAAGAAATTCTCACTAACCTTCCTCTTCATGTACAAAGCACCTTATGCATTTCAGGAAGAAAACTGAACTTACAACTGAATCAAAAGATACATTCCAGAAGGAGAGTTCGAAATAGACTTTCCTCATCTTCCAAGTGAGCAAAGAGAGTTTGATTTGGAAATCACTGTGATTATTGTAGTGTTGTTTAGTGATTATTGAAGCTGATCTCTCCATTAAAAGTAGCTATAGCTGATTAGCAATATGTATACTTGCCTTCGTCCACAATGGCAGCAATACCAAGAATAATGGCATGAAGGAAGCTTTAAATGTAGCCTCATTCCATAAATTATTGAAGAACTGAGAAGACAAAAACATGTTGTATATTCTGCTTTAAGAAAATAACATGTTTTTTTTTTTTTAAATAATCCACGAATAGCAAGGATAGAGAATGATAGAGCTCTGCAATCAGTTCTGATGGGAAATTTGAAAAAATTCCCCAACTTTTTCAAAACCTTAGACATCTCACAGGGCATGCATCACTATGACACTGTTCCTTTAAGTTGAAATATTTCAATCTATTCATGTATGGTTTCCAAATCAGTGTATATCTCAAGTCTTGCTAAATTAATTAACCCCTTCTGAATATTGTTTAGGTTAAAAAATCCAGATCATTTAATAGCTGACTTTTTTTCAGTGGTTTCATATGCCAGAGTTAGACATAAAATTGTGCTTAACTGGAGCTTTGTTTGGCTCTTTTTGGTGCTTTGCAAATTATGGAATGTATTTGTATTTAAGTAGAGGAAGAATGGACTAAGGAGTTTATTAGGAGATAGTAGGATCAGTCATTCTTACACTTAATTTAATGTAAACTAAATATGATTTTGAGAGGCTGATACTGACCAAATGAACCTCAACTCTTTGAAATTCTTTTTTATTGCTTAAACCACTGAATGACAGTTACTATAATTACTTTTTAGTGAAGTTCAACCTATAAACCACTTTTTGTGCTCATTTTGCAGAATGGGGGACGAGGTGTGATTGAAGCAGAAGTGAAACCAGTTGGTTGCAAGCATTTGGTAGAAACATTGTCCATAGACTGTGGTGGGAAAGAACTGCCATCCTGTACTGGGAATTTTTTGTTTCTCCTTCCAGTTAGCAGTTCCGCTTACCAAGTTAACATTAGATTCCGAGCATTAACTGGAGAATTGCTGGATGAAATTTCTAAGCCCATTTTGACCCATCATCAAGGAACAAACTTGTTTGATTACTGTGATGGTCACTCCCTGCCATCAGTGGAATTCCCCATCTCCAAAAAGCAACCAGTTGGTATGTTTTTGTTTCTTGTGTGTATACATGTATCTGAATATTTTTTGCACTTAAGCTGGTATATTATTTAGAATTTATATTCATGGTAGTTGCATACATGATTGTGTATGAAAATATTGGCTTTCTACTAGGTTGTCTCTTGTCAGTAAGTGTGTGCTCACTGTGCATTTATTACAACAATAAAAGTTGATTCATGTGGCTGCATAGCAGTGAAAACACTTGCATAAATTATATATACCCCTTTATCATCTCAAAGCCTGAATTTTTTCAGGCCTGTTTTCTGCAATTACTAAATTGCACTTCACATGTGAGGATACATCATCACTTTACTTGATTTTCATCCTCAAAATTGTGAGTACTGGTACATATCATTTGTTGGAAGTAACAGACCTGTAGTGTCAGTTCCTAATGCAGTGTGTGGATAAATTAGCATAAGGGGTTAGAGTAACTCAAGTGCTGTCAGTAAAAAGTTTTCAGGAGAACTTTTTCAATTTGAAAATTATTTTCAGTTCTAAATTTTTGTGTACTGCATATACTTCTAGGCATTCTGGGAATCCCTGAGGGTCAGAATATTGTCTCGTATTTTCAAGAATTGGTGGAAAATGGTAATCTTCAAGAAATTCTACCTTGTTCTATTAATTTTGAAGCTTCAACATCCTCCTCCTTCCTGCTCCACCAGGCAACCCCTTAAGCATTTGAACCCCTCAGTTGTGTTCATATGCCCCATCCAAGTGTTGGGTTTGGTAATCAATTTATTTGTAATAGCAAAACAAGCACATCACTTTCTACTCATTGACCAAGCTCTAAAACCTACGACCAGGTCCAAAATTAGTCAACACATTATGTTTTACGAGTTATATGTTAGTGTAGAAAAACACTCCTGTTTCTACCACACTCTAAATCATTAACATGACCCCCCTTCCCCACTCAATGTTGGCTAAAAGTTTGTGGTTTCAGGATACAACATTGTTTTGGGGGAAGGGGTTAATGGAGTTGAAAAGATCAATGTGTCAACAATTTTGTTCCTTGATTGTAGACCTTGGAGACCTTTTCTTCAGATCCACTCACTTGTGAAATTGAACTTTTTACCTTTAAACGCCTCAATTTTTCTTTAAGTTCTTTTGGTTCAAACTCCCCACCCCAGGCAGGTAAGGTTGAAATATTCCTTCCCCCCACCTAGGCACAGACAACTGTTACAGTCAAAAGCCCATTAGTTGTCTGGGGGAAGGGAGGGGATGTTGAAGCTTCACACTGATCAACATATGAACAATGCTGTTTGCTGTTTTTCCATTAAAAGAATTAAATAACTGGAAAACAAGATTGTTCATAGTATGCAGGAATTTAAAGTAGATAATTTGTACACCAAAATGATGCCATAACAAATATAGGTCATTGTGCTCATGTCTCCCCCATGCATTGATTGAAAAACAATACCATGTTCTCAGAATGCATGCACGCTTATTTGCCTGATTACAGATTCATTTTTATGAGCATAACAGGATGCACAATGCAATACTTAATTTATCCCCAAATGTTACCTTCAAGTTGTTGTTTGGTGACCAAAGCATATGGATATAAAACTAGATGTTAGACCCTTTGTAAAATCTGCACACTCTTCAGGAAGAGGTAAATGAGAATGCTGTACTATGTTAGTGGCCAGGGAATATTAATATATGAATATTTCTATTACTTTCAGGTGCAATTGAGTGCTTCAGAAGGGATATACTGCGTCTCATGCAACACATAAATTCATCCAATCATGTGGAGGCAAAGTATCAGGATTTGCTTCTTGCTGTGAAATTAGAGGTAGATGCATTAAATGGTAACATAATGATTGTAGCTACTTCACTCTCAGCTGCACACTTTCAGCAGCCAGAGTAAAACAAGCACCCCTCTTGAATAGGTGGTGCCCCCCTCCCCCCCAATCCTTCCTCACTTCCTCGAATAGTAGGGAAAAGGGGAAAACCTGCTTCCATTACCACTTTCTTTGTAAGTATTTAGCTTCAATTTTGGCAGAATCAGTACTGGAGAATACAGTGTAACATGCACCCCCTCGATTAAATAAACGCCTCAGCACTTATTTTAGGAAATACCGTATTGCATATTGAAAATTCTTATGTGGTTGAATTTGATCTATTTTTCAGAAGTGTCTCATTTTGTATCAGATGGGGGATTTTGAAGGATGCAAGCATGCAGGTGAAGAAGTCTGTATTCAGGCAAACAGGAACCACTCAACAAACTATAACGCACTTGTTGGAAGAGCAAAAAGTGTTATCTCTGGGGCCTACAGGACGGAAGGAGACTTTGAGAAGGCTGGAGAACTATTGGATTCCTCTACTGAGGTTTGTTTTGACTCCTCTGTGTCATGGTATCTCTTAAAGTGTGAAAGCTTTACATCGTAGCATCAGTATGCATACTCTCCTTACTGTTCTTTATACATTTCCTAAGGTGCTGACAAGGAGAAATTGTTTGACAATCAAGAGCTTCTCTACTTTGTGACTATTTTCTTTAATCTTTCAACGCTAATGTTTGACTCAGGGGTGATACTGTAAGTAGAAATTAGATGCCAGTCTATCTTTGGGGTTAAAAGGTTAATGCTTTTGATTCCTTATGAATGCAAAGGGCACATTTTGAGCCCTGACAAGCAGCTAAGGCCACTTTTCTACATCAATTTTTATTGTGATCCAGAGCCCTGTTGCAACAATTTTTGAAGAATGCTGGCGGTAGGGGAAGGCTTGAGCGTTGCAAACTTTTTCGTTTCTTACAGCTGTTACAGGCAGTTGTTCCCAATGAAGAGACTTCAATCAACCACACCAGGGTTGCTGCTCTGTTGTGCGAGAAGGCAGCTGTCATGGGAATCACCAAATCAGAAAGAAAGAAGTTGAAGAAAGCCTTGAAGGATGTGATACTGCGCCCCAGACACCGATCTGAAAGGAATCAAAGCAGGAATGCGAGGAGTCGTAGAAGAGCTCTTATCAGGGCAATACTCTTCTACCTTTGCTCAAGAAAAGGCAAAGCCACCAACCTTCAGACGGATGTGTCCCAAAAGGATTTAGCAAGAGCGGAGGAATTTGCTCAAAAGTTCAAGAGAGATTACCTTACCAATTGTCCTATGAGAGATAGGGCAGGGTTTTATAGTGCCTATGGTGATCTGCTAACAAGAAAAGGACAATATGAAGAAGGTTTGTACAGTTTTAACGTTTGTATTCTTGAGGTACATAACATGATATTAATTCAGTGGTAATTATGGAAACTAATAATAAAAGACACCATTACTGCATATACTGGTTATGGAACTGAATCGAGAATGAAATTGAACTTCATCTTATCCATGTCTGTAATTATGATCTCTCCTGCATATGTGATGTGATAAGCCCAGTATCTTC